CATGGCTTGCAAAACCCCTCTGGCTGGTTGGTCTTTAAAAGCAGGGAACATCTGGCAACCATGCTTGCAAATTCACAGGAAACTGTCAAGGCCAGCAAGCTGGCAAGGATGTATGAGTATGCAAGGTATTTAAAATAATAATAAAACTACTTTAAAAAAGCAAGTGAATGATGTGCTCTCAATTGCACATATTTTGCTATCTGGAAGCAATACACTTAGGCACATGGTTGGGTATAAATCGAGGGATTCAGGCACACACAGATTTGGAGGTGTGTGATGACCAAAATAATTGGGACTGCTTGCTAAAGAAGGCTGAGGTCCAGTACAAGTTTGTTGTTGTTTGGGCCTTTGCAGACTGCCAGCAATAGTGCACATTAAATTGAGGCACTGCCCTGGCTCAGTGCTAGGGAGTCATGGGAATTGTATTTTTTTCTGAGACATTGAGCCTTCTCTGTCAGAGAGCTCTGGTGCCACAATAAATTACAATTCCCATGATTCCCTAGCACTGAGCCAGGGCAGTGCTTCAATTTAATGTGCACTATTTCTGGCAGTCCTTTGTTGTGTGCCTTTGTTGTGTGCCTTCAAGTCATTTCTAACTTATGGAGACCCTAAGGTGAATCTGTCATGGGGTTTTCCTGGCAAGTTTCTTCAGCGGAGGTTTGCCCTTGCCATCCCCTGAGGCTGAGAGAGTGAGACTTGCCTAAGGTCACCCAGTGGGTTTCCATGGCCAAGCAGAGATTTGAACCTTGATCTCCAGAGTCATAGTCCAATGCTCAAACCACTACACCATGCTAGCTCTCTACCTGTTTACCTGGGTGAATTTAGTGAGGCTTGAGGTTGCATAAACAGAAATTGGGTCTTTAGGAGAACTTTTAGTGATCATTGAATGAAATAAATATATGTATGTAGGAGGACTGCTGTGCCATCACCTTCTGCAGCAGCTAGTATTTCAGATAGTATGATCCTCAGGCAATGGCTGTTGGTGGGTTCAATGTCTCTTTGGTTTAAATCCAAACTTTGAATGTTCTGTCCAAGATACTGCATTCGTTTTGGCGAATAGGCTTCACTACTTTAATCAAAGTCCAATCTAAAACCAGGAGCACATTTTTTGCTGAGAACGATACCAGTCATCAAGGCCTATAGGTGCCTAGTTGGAAGTAAGTCTCCCCATGACTTCTGTTCAGTGGGTGCTTACTTCCAAGTAACTGGCATAGTGGTTGGAGTGTTGGACTATGACTCTGGAGACCAGTTTTCGATTCCCTTCTCAGCCATGAAACCTGCTTTATAATTTTGGGCAAGTCACTCTCTTTCAGTCTTAGGGGAAGGCAATGGCAAACCTCAGCTGAACAAATCTTGCCAAGAAAACAGGATGATTGGTTCACCTTAGGGTTGCCATAAATCAGAAACAACTTGAAGGCACACAACACCAGCAACAACAACATCTTCCAACATGGAAGGAAACCACAGGGAAAACAAGCTAAGACATTCCCAAACCTAAGCGGACTTACTTGGATGTCTTCAGTCTTCCCTAATTAATAGGAATGTTCTGAAAAACTGAGATTAGCGTAAAACAAAATGATTTTGAAATTACAGTATCATAAAAAGATTGTGTTTAAGATGGGGTAAATATAAAAGTTAATCCTTTTATGAGAAGTGGTGGATTTTGCAGCCAAACTGCAGAGCCTGATAACCTATCTATTTTCATTGTCCAAAGAAATTAGGTAGTGTGACTGATTGGTTAGTAGTATTTTCAGAAGCTGCTATGACTGTTAAGCAAATTACTTGCCTTCAGAGCCTGGGATTTCTAACCTTGGAGAGTCCATTGGGATTTCTTTGATGCCTCTTGAGGACAGACCTTCAACCAATATAGAGTCTGAGCGTGAAGATTAATTTTCAGTTCGGTTGATAATCCCAGATGTTTAATTAGTGAGGCAGTGCCCTGTTCCACTGTCAAAATCAATCAAAAAAGGTGTCTTGAAAAATAAACAGTTAATTTTGCTTAGGAACATAAAATTGAAATGTTTGGCTGGTCCGAGACAGTCTGTTAAATTACCCTGATCCACTGCCAGAAGAATGTCTTAATACTGGGAGAAGAAGTAACACACCCTGACATCCAGGTTTGTTTTTGCTGGGTGGTGGATAGTTGGTGAGATTCAAGAATTCATAAACAGAGTGAATTCTTAATAAGATTTAAATCAACAGAAATTAATTAATTAACTTTTTTTAAACCTCTTTATAAATTCAACAAACCTCCATTTGGGAGCCTTTCAGAAGATTCTGAAGGTAAATTTGTAGTAAATGGGATATAATTTCACTTGTCTCTTGCTCTAATTAGCGTTATCTATGTATTATTCCTTTTTCTTTTAATAGCCCCTGAAGAAGGCCATAGAAATACATTTCCTGGCAGAAACACATTTTTTAAGAAGAAAATAATCTCTTTTTCAACACTCTGAGACTTTGTCTCTTTTCTACAACCCATTTGAAAGAAAGCCAGCCTTTTGCTTTTTCCTCTTCATCAGATCTGAGAATAGAGAATATTTACAGCTATAATAAAGTTCCCCTTAGCCAAAGAACCTTAAAAATATACAAGAGTAAGACTGATCAGTAGCTGCCTTCACTTGTGAATAATTTGAAGGGGGGGGGGTTACACAACTATCATGGAGTGAGGCTGTAACCCTGACCCTGGCCATTCATGTCTTCATGTGGACATATAAAATTCGAGCTGATGCTGCCTGCCCTCAGGATCCAAATTCTTGTTCTGTGGAGTCCACCTGATTACATACATACAGGTAGACACTTATGCACGAACCTCAGCATTTGAGGCATCCATCACAAGTGTGTGTGGATATTTTGGTGCTGGGGGTTGCAGCAGGCAGCCTAAT